AAACTTTAGCGCATGGACCACGTCCTGTCCGGCTATCGAGCACACTGGACTCGGCAGCATCGCGGCTGCCTGCGCAATATTATCGCATTTTCTAGTTTCAATAAAAAGCAAAATCTGTGCATGCAGCCAAACTTTTAATTTTATTGGTAAGCTTGCTGGGGTTTTAAAACGCGACCAGCCCCACACCCCACATCTTTCTGCCCCTTGAGTGGGCGCGCATATTGCCCTACTGCCAGCTGGGCACCGTGGAGCATCAATTGGCGGCCACCGATATATATATATATATATAGACTGACTGACTATTTATATATATATATACATATATATGTGTATATGCAGACTTTGTAAGTAATCGAAAAGTTTGAAGCTGTTTTTCTGCTGCTTCGCATAGTAGTGATAGTTGGTAGAGAACTTACAAGTTTTGCGCGGAAACAATTACATTACAGATCTAAAGATCTTAGGAAATCGACAAATTTAATTATTTTTATATATATTTAATGCATAGTTAGAAATACAACATAACTAGAAAATGTTTGTTTATCTTTAAATCACATTACAACATTTTAAAAACTAATTGCAGTATGTTTTCATGATTTATGTAGACTGAAAAAAACATAGTTGGAATAAAGCCAAACAATTGATGTACTGAAAATAGAAGGAGCACTCAGTTTCTGTGCTATTTTTCAAATATATAGTTTGTGTTTTGATTGAAAAATACTTAACTAAAGAAGTACTCCTCTTGCCAACTGCTGTTCCCTGCTGCTTTGGGGCGCATCTAATAACTTTGATTGCACTCGAGTAGCATTCAATGCAACTTTTGTGGTTATATACACTAATTAAGTATACAAAATAGAAAACAAAAATATAAAAATAATATAGCTCGGTATAAATGACTCAACAATGCTGGGCCACGTCCGTTCTGAGCAGCTACAGCTCCTTATGTTTTGTGCCTTTGTTTTGTGCAACTGAAATTAGTTGCTGAGCTCTTCAGAGCACACAGCGCGCATAAGGAGCAGGCAGCAGAGTCGAGGAGAGTAGAAGAGGGAGTCAGGAGGAGTGGGGATTGGGGCAGAGAGCAGCAGCTATATTGTTGCTTTGGCCAAAGCACAAATATTCTTCGAAAATCGTAAAATTGAAATTATAATTGCAACTGCAACTGATTCGAAACTCTCTCTCTTTGTTTTCAACCATTGTTAGCAGTGTCCCAGAAAAGGTGCAGCAGCTGGAGGAGGGTACGAGCAGGTTATACAGTTATACAGAAGTGGCTGTTGCTTTCATGTTCGTCGGCATCTGCCGTTTTGTTGTCTTCCGAAAGATGGTACTAATTACGGTCTTAACTTGCTGAATTGTTGTCAAATAATAATTACTTGGTAAACGTTTGCCACTTAAGAAATGAAATACGAGCACGTCTTGCCACGTCTTATTTTTTTTTTTTTAATTTGATCTACCTTTGTTTTTTATTTATTTACTAGCTAACAGAGCAGCTCTGGTTTCTGGTATTTCTATAGTATTTCTGCTCACTCAGTTCATGTTCCGATTAACAACCGAACTGAATATGACCGGGGGCGCCACAGCACAGTAAGCGCGGTTGCGGTTAGACGCTTCCAGGACCTACATTTGAATGCGTGTGTGCGTGTCTGTGAATGTGTGCGTAAACCAGAATCCTTGCCAAGTGCATGTGGCATGCCGGATGTTGTGATATTTTGGAAAGCGCACAAAAATTTCGACATTTTTACAAAAGTGACATTGGAAATGCCGCTAGCAGTTTGAGCGTTCCAAAATTTTTTCACTGCATTTCGGTCAGTAGAATTTCTATTTGTTTATTTTTGTTTCTATTTGGATGTGTGACATTTTTGCTAAATATTCAAAAAGCTGGCTCTTTCTTTTATGCCATTGAATTTGACATTCTATATCCGTCCGTTTGTTGGGCTCAAGGGGCGAATCTGTGATGGCTTTGTGTTGCTGTATGTGGGATGTGTATCACAGCTCTGATTCAAGCTCTTGCTTTTTGTCAGTTCTCAATTGTCTGCGAATTAATCTTAAACCAGACAGTTTGCCATTCTTTTTACCTGGAGTTAAATATTTGGTATGGCTTTCAACTAATCAAATTAGTATTTTCGAGTATTATTAGTTATACATTTTAATTGAAATGTAGGTTATGAGAATGTTTTAAATATACGTATGGCTTAGCATTTTATCCAGATTTAAAGTTTCTTATTTAGTTTTCAGTTTTCATTGATGAAACCTAAACTTATTAAGGCAAATTGAAAGCAATGAACAAATATACAATATATACAATACCACACACTAAGCAAGAAAACTTTAAACATTTTTGCCTTTGAATTATTAGTCTAACCACACAGCTCTCGCTCCCTCTCTCTCTATGGCTCTGATTTTCATTTAGTAATTCAATTGTTATATTTAGGAGTGTTAACAGAGCTCCATATTTTAACCTCTTTCTCCTTCTGCATTTCTCACTATCTCTGTGTGTATTGTCGAAGCTAAAACTTGAATATGTGAAATTATTTTTAAGCACGAGGTGGCTGTAAATTGCACAAAAGCCAATTGTGAGAATTTGGAAATTGTTTGAACGCAGGAAAAGCAGCAACAGCAAAATCAGCAACAACAACCACAACAAGATTGTAGTGTTGCAAAGGTCGTACTATAAGGGCAATCAGGATGAGCATAAAACAGGGGGATACAGCAATACGCAGAGAAAGAGAGAGAGAGAGAGCAGACGTATACAGAGACTGTAAAATATACTTTGGATGTAGCCCGATTGCGCTGGCAGCTTGTTGAAGATGCTGTTGGAGCAGGAGTTGCACAGGCAGCAGAGGCGACATGACAACAGCAACGGGCTTGGATTGCTTGTGTGTGCAATGTGAAGTGCGTGCGTGTGTGTGTGTGTGTATTGTGTGTAAACGGCACACACACTTCGGTCATGTGGTTTTGGGAGAAAGCAGCAGCAGAAGTGTTTGTTGTATGCAACTGATTGCAAAGGATTTTATGGTTGCCCTCCATGCTGCTGTTGTTGCTGCTGTGGCGCTGACGATGGCGACAATGCAAAAATACACAGTACAACTGGCAACCGATCGCAGAAGCACCAGCAGACAAGAGGCAAAGGCAGCTGATGCAACGCTCTTTAGTGCAGTTGGCTGCCATGCAAACTTAAAGGGTCACGGGGTAGATGGGAGTGTTGTGGGGCATTGCCTGTTGCCACATAAGGTGTCGCTGCAGTGGCAAAACATGGGCCCATGACAGCAGCACCAGTCGCACCAGTAGCACCAGCAGCAGTAGCAGCACCAGTCGAAGTAGCCGTAAAATGCCAACATCAGCATTACATGCGGCAATTGCTGCTGCGGATTTACAGTTTAATGTCGATGCTATCGAAATGGAATCCGAGAAGGAGACAGGAACAGAGATGGAGACTGCAGACGCTGTTGGCTTTGCGGGCATGTTTGGAAGGGATGTGGTTTGCTATGCTGTTGCAGCAACGGAGCCACAGTCCAGATTAGCATAGGCAAATGTGCCACTGTGTTTGCAGCTTACCAATAAACCGTTATATTAAAGGTCAGTTCGCCTAGTCGGTTCATGGCTTTAAGGTTTCCAAACAATTATTTAAATTGAAAAATCAATTTATACGCTTTACTGCGGTGTGTGTGTAAAGTGTATTTAATTCATTCAATTTAAATGGAAAATTTTTTTATAATCTGTTTCTGCTGGCGAAATAGGGTGAATGAATACAATTGCTTATATTTTGAAATATATTCAGGAATTGGTATAAAATATATCTGCCAGACTTTCGGAACTAACAAATTCTTATTTTGCTGTTTTAAAACTAGTGTTTCACTATCTAATTTCGATTTTCTTTACCGATTCAAATACCTTATTTACTTTTTACACTTTCTACTGAAGTAATTGGCTACTGGCGTTTAAAATCGATCAATTGATAATTGCATCATTTGCAGCAACGCAACCTTCGGTCACACAATGACAAAGTTGCGGAAAATCAAAAGACTTCACGTGTCACAAATGAATTCCGCTTTTGACTCTCAGCCCATAGACATACTGCTATTGTTGTAGATCCAACTGCCTCCAGCAACCCCCAACCAGGCCCTAACTCTTATGTTGTTTCTTTTATCAAACACATTGATTTGATTTCAAAGCTTGCAAGGCATTTACATTTGCCCGCACATCGCCTGGGTTGTGTGCTCGTTAACAAAAGATACTTACATATGTATGCATGTATATCTAACAGATACTCGCCGACATTTGCCTTTGTGTTTGGTGGAGGTGGGTTTCGTGGCACGTTTCTGTTTCGCTTTTGCTTGGTTAGATTTAAATGCCGAAATTTCAATGCTGTACACATCACATCACCATCAGCAGTCCGCCCCCCAAGGACATATGTATGTACAGTTTTTTGTATCCCTCCTCCGTAACAATATGAGTGTATCTAACTCTATGTGTTGGTTCTCTTGAATCCGGGGAACACGTGGAAGTGTAATCACTTGTACTTAATATGCAGATGATGACAATGTGACAATCAAAATGATTCCAGGTCGCTGGCAGACACTCGTTGTCTCTCTATGTGTATTCTAGAGGATGACGTTATGGCAATCTGATTATTATTATCATCGTTAGAAGTAATGCCATCCAGCCCCGCGCATGTAAATCGGATTTTCCTGCGCTGGTTTCCTACAGGCATCAGCGCATTAGGCTCTGCCTTCAGAGCTCTTTGAATTCTAAAAAGGTAATTTGTTTTTATTTTTATGATATGAATTGTTTACTTATGCATCTATCTATTGCCAAAGAATACTGAATATTCAATATATGATATATACAAATTATTTTATTGATTTTCATTTAGTTAATATATACATTTCACGAACAATAGATTTAAATCCACATCACAATAAATAAAACATAATCTTTAATGACCATTTCCAATTTTGTTCATTTTAATTAAATGTTGTATTTTGAGAACTGAGAAAAGTACATCTTTATTCATCACATTTATATTTATTTGTGGACTGTATAACTTCATAAGATTATTTGCTGCTGCAAAAGAAAAAGCCGAACAAAATACACATAAGAGTAGTTCATAAAAAAGTAACAGCACGGAATGTGTGTGATGTGGTTGTGTTTGATATGGTTATGTGTGTGTTAAGAATATAAATGTGAAAACATTTTTTATTTTTTTTTTAAGAAAAATACTCTCACAAAGCCAAGCGTATAAGGCCGAAAAAACTGTTGATGAAAATGCAGAAGCACGCGCAACTGAGTCGCAGTTTCCTCTTTTTCCACTGAAATGCAACAGGAGACGGCGTGTTAATGCAGAAGAGCCCACAGAAGCAACAATAATAACTACAAAAAAAGAAAAGAACAACCCTTGACGGCAAGTGCCGAGCATGTGATGAACTGAAGCTGGCCAGTGGTCCTCAAACTGGCGAGGTCGCATTCATCACGTCAAGATTTTCAGACGGCTGCACGTCGCGGTCGTTGTGCGGCAGTTGGAGCATTTCATATTTTCCTTTGAGCCTTTTATTTTATTATTATTTTTTTTACGACCTAATGAGGCATGTCGTTGACTGTGCTTATACGCTTGCCACCGCATTCAATGGTCAGCTTCTTTGATTGTCCCACACTGGACATGCGCTTTAAAGTGAGTGTAAAATTGTGCGGAATTCCATTTACGAACAGAACGTTTGCTTGTATATATTTCACTTATGTTACTCATACGCACAGTTGAGCGCAAACAGAACTACGCATATGACCACGTCAATATTTGTGAAGTGCACACGATCGGAATTAATTTCAAACATTTAATTTTGTTCATTGCTGCTCTATTTTAGAACTTTTTTATTTGGTTCAACAATTTTATTATGTCATTTTCTGTCCTGGCTATTCAATACTTGGATTAATAGGAACTTCAATTGGATTTATTGATATACTTTATAATAATATCAAGATAGCTTTTAATGGTGTGCGTTTGATTATATATTATATATTATATGTCATAGCTCTTACTAATTTTTAAGAGCTTGTATACTAGCACTTCAATATAATTCACCAAATTTAATTAAAAATTTTCGTATTATGTTTCGCTTACAGCAAGTTTTGGGGGTAATGGAATTGTATGTTTTAACTGCAAAGCGCTCACATACATATGTTGCCGGGTTTAATTGCTTTATAAAGCCGCAAAACAAATGCTGCCTGCTCAACACTGCCTACAGACAAACACAAACAAAGAAATACCCACATAGCACCATTACGGTATTTACCAAAGGAGTTGAACATGACGGCGACAACAAGAAAATACACACAAACAATTACACACACTCACATTTTAACAAAAACAAAAGAAGACAACAGCTCGAAAGGCAATTTTAACTTTTCCATATACTTCATAGAAAAGTACTTCACATTTAGCTGTAAAAGAATTCGCCGAAAAGCCCATTTAATACACTTGTGTCCTTTATGTAGTGGGCTCCGAAAGGACTGCGCATATGCTGCCACCATTTCATTGTGCGGTTCCCTCATTATGCCCCCTTTTCTCAAGCTCTTAACAAGGCCAAAGAACACTAATGTTAAAGCCAAGACTTGATGAAGGTATAATCTACACATACATTTTGTAATAATTTGATCATTCAATGCTTTCGGAAAGATATAAATAAATATAATTTGCACAGCATTTTCAATAATTAATCATAATTGTTGCAATTTTCCTGCTATACCCAATCCTCTAGCTTTAGTTCCACGAATCCCACAGTTATTATGTAAGTTTCATATAAGCCACATTTTTGATATTAATTAAATGGCTTACTCTTAATTTTGATTAGGAAACAACGTTGCAATATTTGTACAAAACGCAATAACAGTTATATCAGAAGCATCTGGGAATATTTGACCCAAAAATTCCAAAAGTGCAGGCTGATTAATAACAACCTCATAATATTCTTCATAAGAGATAACGCCATCTTTGTCCAAATCAAATTTGGTGAATATAAATTCGGTCATATCCTACAAAAAGATCTCTTGAATATGATATAAAGTTAGTACATATAGCATCCATACCGCTTGCAACTCTTTAACCTCATCGTCATCTTCACCCACAAAGAAATTGTTAATGGCCATGCCAACTGTTTCACGATTAAGCACACCGGACGTAGTATAAACCTGATAAATAAATGGTATATAGACATTTTAGATATAGTTTGTATTATATATATATGTATGTACTACCTTATATGCGAATTGCATGCGCTCCTCCAGGTTCTTGCTCAAGAACACCTGGAACAACTTCATCCAGGCCTCCGGGCCGACATGGATCACATCTACCGTTATGTTTAACAGTATACGCTCTATAATACTCACATCGTAGATCCGAAATAGTACCAGAAATAAGTTGTAAATCTGCTTCTTTTTCATTTGCTTTACTGACGGCCCATTAATCCGCACGAATTTGTAGTATATGATGAGGAGGCATACCACTTCAGTGTTGGTAAACTCCGTCGAGGCGGTAAACTGTTTGATCAAACTACTGTAAAGTGTCAGAAATTTTGTATTGGCCATGTCATCCATCGTAGTATCTATGCGATTCATCTCGGCGTCTTCTGTGTTCTCTAAGTCGATTTTTAATATACGTGTTTGTTAATGTGTGTTTGTGGTGTGCTGAAATGATTTTTGATATACACATATATAATTTGAATTTTTCTAACACTGGCCTACTAAAAATCTTAATTCAATTCGGCTTATATTATTGAAGAAGAAAGCAGAAGGGAGCTTTACTTTGGATATAAAGTATTTTGTATTTTATATAAACATTTCTTAAATTCTTGCAGACACAAATCCGCACAATTTGTCATGTTTAAGAAATTGTCCTTTAAAATGCCAAATACAAAATGTATCAATCAAAACTGTATGGTAAGTACAATAAAAATCCTTTGGCTTTAGTATCTTTGCCTGAGTGTGTATGTGTGGTGTGTGTGTGTGTGTGTGTGAGTGGGTGCTGTGGTTTTGTGTGCTGTGTGCTGTGGTGGTGTTGTAAATCCGCTAACACTCCGTGTTGTCAACTTGCCGACATTAAGGCGCGTGAATCTTTTTTTTATTGTTATGCTGCCGTGTCGTGGGGCTCTGTCAAGAGTGGGGGGAATGGGGCAGCTAAAGGGGGCGGTGTGTGTTGTAAAGCCGCATGTATGACAGCATGTGTGGCACACAATTACAAGAGACGGGCCCAAAAGAATGGCAACATTTGTTACCCAAAACAAAATGGCTGCACGACCATTTCCGCTGATTTCCAGATGAACTCATCTGCGTCCTCTGCATCCTTTGCTGCCTTCCGTGCTTGGCTGCTGGCGTGGATTATTATATTCACATTTCTCATGCGCACAGCTTTAAACATTTTTACATTGAAATATTTATTTCGAAAACAAAAGTGGCAACACACATGTACATGTGTGAGTGTGTGTATATGCGTGTGTGTGTGTGTGTAGCATGGCATAAGGACTCTGATGTATTTTTTATGTCTTTGCTTCGGTTTTATTGCCTTTAAATTGCGCTCGTTACATTTTGCTTTTTGTGATAGGTGGGGCAGGGGCAGCCACGCCTTTGGGGCAACACCCGAAAATACTTGTAAGCAGACAAAAGTCTAGAAGAATGTGGATTATTTCAAATCATTTATGGGACTGAGCACTCGGAACCGCCAAATGAAAGTAAAATACTACGTCTACGTCAATGTTTTTAGCACACAACTCATCCCGCGAATATTTTAAATCGCTTTGCCTTTGTGGCTGTCTAATATAATCTTTCTTTAAGTCGGCAGAATATGTATGAAAAACACTCTCACAATAATAGATATATAATGTTGCGGCTTCTGGGCTGGGCATTGTAGTGGAAATTTTTTAAGCAGACAGAAGTGAATTTGAGTCAAGTACAATTACAAAGCAATTATGGCTTATTAATTATTACTTATAAAAATGTTAATAGAATAGTAACTTAGTTTTTCTGGTCTAAAAGGTAAGCTACGCTATCTGTTGTATCTAGCTTAGTTAAATAAAATAAATGCTTTGATATGCGTCGGTCAGATTTTCGCCATGGACGCTGCCATTTAAGCATACCACAAAAGCGATCCCATCAGATATGCACTTGATTATTCTGTTTATGGCCTGCTATTGCACTCAACCTAATTATTCATACTGCAAATATGCCTGCACGATGTATGTGGTATTTATAATTGTAGTTGAATTGATTCATTGATTAGTTACGGGAATATAAACTTGACTGCTGCTTTGATTGTGGCAGAGTCGGTTAAGTAGCTCATTAGTCTCAGTGTATTGAATACATTCAATCATTTGATTAAGACGCGTTCAAAAACAATGCAACACAACATCATTCACTATTGGAAAGTAGTAGTGTTTTGTATATATTTAGCCACTTAACATGGAAAATTCTACAAAGCTCAGTTTTATCTGTAAGTTAAAATAGTTTAAAAGTGAACTTATGCTGAGTTCACTTTAAAGAACTCTAGGCTATAATACTATATTCTACTATTATGTGATATTCTATGTACTTATAAAAAATGAGTACTCAGGATCTAAAAAAGTATTAAGCAAGTAAGCAATAATGCTTAAATTCATGTTTATTTATTCATATGAAGTACTGTTTCAATAACCATGTCTACGTGCATTAGGCAATGCTATATTGTTCATACATAGAGCATGTCCAGCGTATGAGTGCAGGTCATTGCTGCGTGGAATGCAATTAATTATTGTTGATAATAAGCACGCAATTTATACGTGCAGCAGCTGTACGTCGAATTGAGTTAACGTTTCTTGTCAATGATCTGGGCAACGTTGCTGTTGAACAGGACTCAGCTGTTGACTTTACTTTGGTAATGCAGTTGCGGCATTCGTGTGGCCGCCTGCGTCATTATGCTCATTATGAAGCGTATTCTCTGAATTATATAGTCAGACGACCAAAGGCATGCCATTGCCACTCAGTGAGCGTTTGATGAATTAGATTAGGGCATGTGAGTAATTATAATCAATTAAGATGCCCGTTGCACAGAACATAGAACATGCACAGTGCTTAAAATGGAATTAGGTAAAAGTAATGCAATATAAAGAATTAATAACAAAGCTCACTTCAGTTTATAAATGTATGTATTCTATTCAATACCGCGACGAAATAAAGACTTTCGCATAATTATATAATGGAATAATGGTATTTCAAGGCTTAATTTGGTTGGGCTTTAATCTAATGTAGTATGTAAATTAATTTATTTCAAGTATCATTTCAAATTACTTTACATTTACCATGCTTAAAGACTTCTGTTCCCTTAAAAAACAAAATAAAATTGAATGCCAATCACTTTAAAACCATTTCTCCCTATTCTCACTCAATTTAACGAATCCGAAATTCAACTGTAATTCTCACAATATTTGATTTATACTATATATGTAATCTTTACTTGCCAAGAGTTCACTTTTAATTTTTTCTAATCTATTTGGTCATCAAATGTGCTTGCAATTGTGTGCTTAGCATTTTGTTCATTGAATTGCATTGGTTTGGACTGATTAGTTTGAACGATTACTACACTAAGTGCACAATGCTTAATTAATCCCCTTGACTAAGACAAAAGCCCCTACTTATGGGTTCGTGGAGCGACAATCAATAGCCCATTGAGTTTGTAAAGCAAACAAGCAATTTGGCTCAAGATACAATGCAAACTGTGCGGAAAAGTTAAACTCAACTTTGGCGAGCTGCTATTTTCGATTAAAATTCCAGTTGGCGATTCAATTAAACACTAATTAAAAGACAGTTTCCGCAGCTCGCTGCTGCGCAACCCTTTGACAAGTCCCTATTGCCAATCTCAGTTTTCAGAGGTCGGGGTACACGGGTTTTAATTCTCACAGTACTCACTTCTGTAAGCGCTCTTGCAGCTTTGCAAAGGACGCCAAAAAAAGTGCCAACAGGATAAGGCAAGTCGACAAATGCGCTGCAGCAGTGATAAATGTAGGCGGCTGCTATAATTGTCATAAAAGAGGGACGAAAAAAAAAAGAAAATAAAAATTAGCAAAGGAAGCGAAATCAAAGGAAACGTTTTTGCAGCAGTAAGCCAGTCTTCGCTGTTCCCTCGCCCCTCTCTTCCATTTTCATTTTATTTTTTACTCAAAAAATCCGTCACCAGCGATATTTGCTTTCTTTTTACCTTAACTCGCTCAAAGTAAATTTTGTGCCTGGTCGGGATCATTTTGTGGAAAACTTAAGCGCTCAAATTGAAATCTTTGCAAGACAGAGCATGTGCTTAGTTTTTGGCAAACTTCAGATAATTTCATGCGGGCAGAGTAAATTCAAGATTGAGTTAGTACATTTGGTTCTAAATATTATTACTTTAAATAGTTTATTATTGCTTGCATTTCTTAAACCATTTGAAGAACATAATGAAGTTGTACACATTATTTTTTAAGCATCAACTACCGAGTCAATTTGAACATGTCCGTCAGTCTGTCTATCTGAACTCATCGATCTATGAGGCTATCAGAGTTACAATATAAGTTATCGTATATCAAATGCAGATGAAGATTATTTCACTTACGTATAATATTCTTTATTCATTATCAATATCAATATAAATTCACAATTTTATATCTTTCTAATCAGGTCATACCTTGACATAATATTAATAATTTTTTAAAATTTCCTTACCCTGAACACATGGGTATCTGCTAGTCGAGCTTTCTATATCCGCTTATTTCGTTTTCCAAGTCTGTGTCAATCAATTGTTCAGAGTTCGAAGCACGTCAAGAACATCCGCTAATTGGAAATGCTTTATTAGTAAATTATCCAACCGCGTAATTTTATACAGTCTTAAGAAGAAGTACTCAAGGAAAAGTAAAGGAGTCGGCACAAAATTCCGGGTGCTTGTGTGCAACAAAGCGATGCCGTGACAGGGTTGTCATGGGCAGTCGAGTACAAAATATCAAATGACACGCTGTCGGTAAACTACTTAATTGCATATCTATATAATTAGGAAAGTTTTCGTGGCAGCTTGTTGTGGCTGCAACTTTGTGATGCTGCGCTATGTGGCCAGTGGAAGCCAGAGTTGCCATTAGCACTGTGAAATTGCTTTGCATATCATTAGGACATCGCTATGCCAACAGAGAGTACGATTGACATTTATGATGGGGCATTAACAAATTATTTGCTGACCATCATGGAAATTAACGATGCTGTGGTCTTAGCCTGATGCCGTTGAAAACTGCGCCAATACACAGTGAGTGGAATGCGAACGCTGCAAAGTTGTTTTTTCGACTAATGCTGTAATCCGATTTGCGATTGAAAATTCATGGAATTAATTTTTATAAAAAAAAAAAAACAATAATAAAGCCAAGTAAGAATGCTTTATTCGAGAGAGAGAGAGAGAGGTAGAGAGCGAGCTCGACTCGGAGATACCCTGAACTAGATGTGTTAAATATGCTGAATCGATTAAAACACAGGTTCGAGTTATGTGGACATATATCTCTTTAAACGATAATCAAATTTAAACAGCAATTTGTTCACAATGAAATTAACTTATGGTTTATAAGTTACATTCCAAATTTAAAGTGTTTAGTTCATATAAACTCTGGGATTGACGCCTTCATACAGGCAGACATGATATGGCTAGATCGCTTAGAC